AAAGGTTGTCATTTTACGTTAATAGTATATATGCTTAATAATCATATGTTGTATCCTTACTTGAATCTCATGTGATGTCGTTGTAATTTCCTCAACTCTAAGTAGGCCATCCATTAAATGGCCGTTTAATCGGTCATCGACCAGTCTTTTAACTAAGACTTGGTCGCAAATTCAGCATTTTGTTGAATATTGTTTTGGTGATTCGATTTCAGTGATTCAAAGTCCTGAGTGATCATTAGGAGTGTGGCTACTTGGATTTGTGATCGGAAGCTATTGAAGAACGTCCATTTAAGGCGAATTTGCGTGCCTTAAGGCTGTCTTGGCCTATTTATTGTGGCAATTGCATGCTTAGTTGTGTTGGTTGTTTTGAGCCTCGGATCGTGTTCAATTTTGGAACACAGGGTCGCGGCATAGTTTAGGACCTCTAGATGGAGTCAATTCCGGAGATTCCTCCTCGAGTTCTACAATTTTCGTTTGACTCCAAAATTGGTCTGTTTCTGTTTTATGTGATTTTGGTGTCTAAACAATCGTACTAACATGTGATCCTATTTTTGGTAGTGTGATAGCGTTCGGAGGCTGTTCGAAAAGGAAAAGCTCTGGCCTTGTGATTTAGGGCGTGCGCGGTCGGCCTACAGGTACGCTACGACTTCCTTTCTAATTAAATTAAGCCTGAATGTGTGAATTCATGATGATTAGAGTGAATTGGGGGAGGGTTCGTAGCTATTCTTGTTTTACTTCTTAGAAACCATGTTTTAGGGTTGATCGATGTTGGTTCGAGGGTAGTACCATGCTAGCTAGGGTTGTTTGTGTGTTGTTGCAACTTGCATGCTTTTGTGAATTACTTGCGTTGTTACTAGTTATTTGAAGCGTGTTTACCCTTAGTCTAGAATAGATTAGTGTTGCCTTAGACCCGTGAGTCTTGTAACTTTGGTTTCATCTCCTACTTCGTTTCGTACGGACTAGATTCATGTAGACTGAAGTAACAGACTTGAGTCTGATAGTATATGTCTTAGTCTAGGCGTTCGCACTGCTTGTTAGACTTTCTACCTTCTCTCCCTATCTCTATGACTCTTATGCGTGAGGTTTTAATCAATAACCTTACCACCAGAGCGACTTATTGTTGGGTTTTAAAGGTGTGAAAAGGAAATAAGGGTTGTGACTCTCTTGAAGGGATGTGATTTTTCTGAAGGGTTGTGACCTCTATGAAAGGTTGTGTCTTTTCTAAAGGGTTGTGACCGTTTGAAAGGTTGTGCCTTTTTCAAAGGGTTGTGACCTTTCTGAAAGGTTGTCTTTTTTCCAAAGAGTTGTGACCTTACCCTTTGTTGGCTATAAATAGAGAGGATTTCTCTTATTTTTCTGCATCGAATTATTCCCTTCTTTTGCATACATTTCTTACAAAACATAATCGATCGATCGTGTATGTGTGTGTGATTCGTTGTTGTCTTTTTGAGTTCGTTGAAATTATTGAAGTTTGAGGTACCGCTACTTCTTTAATGGTTAATCCGTTTTATCTTGAGAGGAATTAATCTGCAACCTCGGGTACTTAAGGGGATTAAATTTCTTAAGGACACACACACTACTAAAAAAACAGCATTTAGCGATAGAATGTAGCGACGGAATATATTCCGTTGCTATATAACGACGGATTAACTACGGAATAAATATTTTGTCGCAATAATAATAAGCAATTTTTTTATTTATTCTATAGCGGCGGAATGGCGACGGATTGTATATTCCGTCACTATTTATTAGCGCGAAAAGTTGGCGCCTTAATATTTCCTACGAATTTAACAACGGAAGGGATGCGACAAATTGAATTAATTTTGAACGACGGATTAGCAACGGAAAATTCGTCGTTACAACTTTTAGTATTTATTTATAAATTTTATATTTTGTAGCGACAGAAAAATCCATTGTTAGTTTCTATTCTAAATAAATTAAAGATGTTTGTTAACAACGGAATTTATATGTGTCGTTAATCCGTCGCAAAATAAAACAAAAATTTAGGGATAAGTTAGGGCACACAAAAATTCCCTCTCCATTCTACTAACAAAAGCTTTGAGCTCTCCCGCTCTCTCTCTCTTCGGCTCTTCAACTATTCCTCTTCCCCATTCTTCAAATACACTACTAATTGCTCTTTCACTCTCTTCAATGTGAGAAATCAATGAGTTTCTATCAATTTTCGAATTCAAAATCAAGTGAGTTGTACTAACTTTTGTATACTCTAATTTCGAGTTTATTTTTTTGTATATTAAGATGTGTTCTATCGATTTGTGTTGATTTTGTTTGTGGGTTTTGGTAATCTTGAAATATGAGACAAGGGTTCTACTTGGAAGAATGATTTTGCCATAATCGAGTTACACTTTGCAATTAGGGTTTGTTTTAAGAGATTAGTGATATTATAAAAGATGTCAAAACCAGATCTTAACATAATCACTTTTTGTTGTTAGTAATCAACTGTGAATAAGACTACTTTTTTGTTGTTAGTAGTCACTTTTTCTATCTAGGTTTAGCTTGAACAGCAACAAGATTCTGAGCATTATCAGGAATACATTTTGCTATGCTTGTTGGGTCTTTGAGTTCTATTTTTAACTTCTGTTTGTATTTTTCTATTTTGAAATTGTTAATTTGAAAAGTTTAGTATAGGCATTGTATAACTCGTTTTATGAGAATATATAGTGGTGTTTAAATTCT